TTTAAATTCCCTGAATAACCCCAGTCAGAGGTTAGTCTAATGAATATGGATCCATATATTTTAGACCTGGCTTTTAAAAATTGCCTTCTGTTAATATATAATACAAAATGCATAGTTTTTAGTGAATGTTTTTCTGAGTCCTGTTGATAGACATGAAATATGTCATACTTTTGAGCCAGTTATTTAGCATCATCTTTTTATTATACATAGCATGTCAAGGTGAGTTTTCAATGGGATATATAACAGTGTGGTAATTTTGAGGTCTTGGGGCAAAAAGCAAGAAATATATTTTCAGGTAATATCAAAAGAGTCAAATAATTATAATACTAGTGATTTAAAAGAAAGCACTGTTTCTTTGTCAGTGTAACTGAAATTTAAGTTATTAGAATATATAAAAATATATGGTATTTTTGCTAAAATTATACCTGAACTAATATACTTTAGTTTCAAAGAATTAGTGTTTACGTTTGAAGTAGAGCCATAGGCTGCTCAAAAATAGATATGATGGATCGGAATTTTTGTCTGTTTGTGTAAAGAAGGAAAACTGGTAATTGAAGGAAGTTGAACACGGACGATGAATGGTGCGTGGATTTGGCTTTCTTGACAGGGTCACACTGATTTTGCTTTTTCTTTGTTGTGTTTTGTTTTGAGACAGTTTCTAGCTACGTAGTTCAGACTGGTCTTGAACTCACTATGTAGCCCAGGCTGGCCTCGCAGCGACCCTCCTGTGTCAGCCTCCTGAGCGCTGGGATTACAGGCGTGTCCGCCACCACACCTGGTGGTCATGCTGATTTTTAAAATGAAACTTAGCAAAGGATCTGAGGGAGTGAAAGGATTGGCACATGTTTAGACACAAAATGTTTGCCAGTCTGCTTTCTGTTTTAGTTTTGCATTATCTGTGGGCTGTTTTATATCATCGAGTGTACAGGTTGTGAATATTTATCCCTTCATGGCTTCTTTGCTGTTCTTGCTCTCTGGGGTTGGTTTCCAGCAGGAGCGGTTCCTTTCGTTGCTACCCAGAGAGGCAGCTGTAGGGTGGTGGAGCCGGAAGGAACTGAGGACCAGGGTGGTCAAGGGCTTCCCCCGACACCCAAGGTCAGTGCACTGTGTGGATGTTTTATTTTAAGTGTTTATTCAGCATTTCAGAAAAAACCCAAAGTTAGGTATTTCTAACTATAGAAGCAATAAACCGGAAGCCTTTAGAAGGAGGAGGTTCCCGGAGGGAAGAGGCCTTACCCTGCTGTGTGGTTCCAGGCCTGTGCTGAGCTGGCGTCCTGGGCACAAACCCCCCAGGTGCCAGGAACCCAGGCTTCTGGCCCCTGCGGGGAGCATGGTCGGCGCTTACTCGAGTCAGGAACGGTGATCACAGGAAGACTGAAACCTCCAGATGATTAATCTGAGCGTTTACTGATGTCTTGAAAATTCTTTGTCTCACATTAGCGAAACCTAAGGTATTGTATTTGTGAGGTGTAACTATATAAACTCGAACCAAAAGGATTGTTTCAGAAGTTTCATTCAGGAAGTTAACTTGCGCCGACTTCACCAACTGTTCCTATAACCTGGGTAATATTTAATCGTATGAGATGAAATTGTGACATTCACCCTAACTCTGTTGCTGTTTTTGGTAAGATTCAAGCCAAAAATAAAACAGGTTTATTTTTTTAAACTGTTTGCATAAAATTTGTGCTTACTCAGTAGAAGTTAAAGAATGACAAAAGTGACTGTCTGTAAGTCTGCTGGCTTCAGGTTTATGTCCCAAGGCTCACACATTTCTGCTTGCCAGCAGGATTGTTTTTGGTGCTTTTTATAAAAATATTGATAGGTTTGTGCACATTGTTTGATCAGTTTCTCATGCCCATATCTATAATGTGAGCAGCTACTTTGAAGATAAGAACAATACACTAATCATGGTTACTTTCCTACAATCCTGTTTTGAAATTTTGTACCATTGTTTTTTTTTCTTTCTTTAAAATAAAAAAATTGAAAAAATATAAATTATAAAAAATAAAAACATTGATAGGGGATTGTAGGTCCCCAAAAGGGCAAGCTCACAAGTATATAGACACTTTCTTGTTAGACATGGTTGCAGATAAGCAACTACTCTGCACATGTGAGCTTCACACAGACAGGTCTGGACTCCTCAGGCAACCTGGGGACAGTTCCTAATGACCTGCAAGAGGAGCAGCTGCGCCTTCCCCACTCCATAGAGAAAAATGTAGGTGAGATCTGCCCGGCAGTAAAAGGCATTAAGCTATCGCTATGTGTAATAACACAGATGAATCTGTAATTATGCCGAGTGGTAGGAGCCAGAAACGAGTGTAATCTACATGATTCCATTTTATAAACTCCAGGAGGCTCTAACTCAGCTGTAGCATCAGATCCCTGGTGCCTGGGAAAGTGGAGGCCAGGAGGGAAGGGTGGGGCTCCAGGCAGAGGGGGAAGACTGCAGAGAGGTACCAGGAAGCTTTTGGGGTGATGGTACGCTTACTGTCTTGACCGCGGTCACATTTCAGGGGTACATTTGTCAACGTTTGTCAGATTGTGAGCTTTCCTCAGAGCAGCTTTGTGTCTCTTTGGTGCCATATATGACAGAGGGGGAAATACTGTATTACTGCAGTGCACAAAATTCACTTAACGCTTGCCACAGACAGCAGGTAACCAAGGAAATAGGTGCACCTAAAACAGAACAGAGAAGATCTGTGTTCTTTGCAATTTGTGGCATGGAGAGAGTCCTGTGTCTCATAATTTTGTTCTCATCTGAGTTTTTGATGGACAGCAAAGTGTTATTATTCCAGTCCTGGATATTGAACTCAGGGCCTTTGCATGGAGCAACTTGGATGCCCCTCTTTGTTTTGAAACAAAGATTCCCTAAGTTGTCATGTTGCCAGACTAGACTTGAACTTGTGATCCTTCTGCCTCAGCATCCCAGAGTGCTGGGATTACAAGTGTGTGCCACCTCCCCGGGCTTGTGAATTACTTTTTAGTTGGGAAGGTCAGAGGTTTAGAGGTGAGCAGACCAGGATTTCTTCTGCTGGCTGTGTGACTTTGGGCAAGAGCCTTGCCCTCTCTAATAAGTGTTTTTTATGTATCTGTGAATGAGGTTATAGAGACACAGTCAGTGCTTAAGTCATGAAAGCAACTTTGGTCTTTATTGTAATGTATTGTGTTTATTTATTTATTGGGGTACAGGGAATGGAACTCAGAACCCTGTGCTTGGCAGGCAGGCACTTATGGTGCTGAGCTATATCCCTGGCCACTTTATTTATTTATTTTTTAAATTAAAACTTTTGTGTGTGTGGTATCAGGAATGGAACGTAGGACCTCATGCTTGCCAGGCAGGGCTGCGTCACTGAGCTAAAAATCCTGGCCCAATATTTATTAGTACACCTTTGCAGTACGCAGTGTTTACTCTCCTCGGGTGGAGCTGGCACCTGCGTGGAACACATCTAGTTCCCTTTCCATCCCTCCCTCTTTCTCTTGATCTCCTTCCCATCTGAGGAAGATTTCTCACTTGCTCCCTACCATCTAGCTTTTGTTTTATTCTTTATTTGTAATTTGGGATTTTTATTATTTTTATTCATTTCACATTCTGATTTTCACAAGATAGTCTTGAGTGAGCACATCAAATACTTTAATTCACAGTGGGAGTGTTCCTGGGGAGAATGGGTTCCTGGAGCAGGGTAACCTTGTCTCCTGCTCCTCTGCCCCGTCCCTGCTCTGAAGGCCTTACTGCGAGGAGTTCTTTGTCTTTTCCTTTGTTATATTATAATATGATTGCCCCAAAGTGCCACCTTTCTGATTGCTTATTGAAAATTAATTCTGGTTTTAGTGTGACTTGTTTGTTTATTTAGCTTTAGTTTATTTGTCATTCATCTGTAGGAAAAATGTTTTATTTATTAAATGTTTTCTTTAAGTCTTATAAATAAATCTTATAAATAAATAAATCCTATTGTGTTAACAGTAGAATAATTTTTTTTGTCTCTTCTAAGCAGGTTTTAAAAGTTAAAACATTTCACCAAAGTGAAAGTTGATCAATTTTTCTAAAACTGCTCATGAGACCAGGGGATCTCTGAAATGAGAGTTTGTGGAGGCATTGTAGATGCTAACTAGAAAAGGACAAAGTCTTGGGACAAGTCCTCAAAAGTACGAGCAGCAGGGCCAGGTCGCAGTTGGAAGCAGGTCCACAGGACTAGAGCTAAGAGCGGTTTTTCAGTCATAAAGATTTGGGGAAGAAGGCATAGATCCCTTTAGGCTGTCACAAGAGAGGAAGGATTGTGTCAACTGGGGGGTACATTGGGACCGCTCCAGAAGGAGAAATACTGTACTTGTTGCCCTGGACAGGTTGGGGGATTACCATCCAGAAGGGTTGTAGGCTCATGGGGTGCAGTGGGAAACCCTGGTGGCAGGACATAGTGGGCCCTGAATGAAGGTTTTAACATACATTTAAGAAGGTGCAACTCTCTTTGTCCCCCTGTGTACCTCTTAATTGATTGACTTCTCTGATTGCTTCCCCTGTCCATCCTTTGACCCTTATATTTAGACACAAGGCCTCTCCGGAGAGTTTTTCTTTTATCAGCTGCTATGCAAATTTGGAAGACAATATAGAAAAATTTAATTATGTTAAAAACCGAAATGCTGCTATTTATAGAAACTAACAGAATTACCTCCCTTCTCCTGATCTTGGCCTAATTTTTTCCACTGTCGAGTGGTTCCTGGGAATTGACAGGTGATTGATTTGGTTTTAGAGGGTCCTGGAACGGCACAAAGTGTTTTTCATATTGGGAGAGACATGCCTAGTTTTTCACAAGTAAAATAAAAAAAAAAAAAAAAAAAAAAAAAAAAAAAGATTTATTGCCTTACCCTCAGGTGTTGCAGATTAGTTTGTTTGCTATTTATTTTACTCAGAATGCAGTAATTGGTGTCATTAGCCAAAGGGCAAACTAGCTCACACAGAAGGGTAGACTTGTGATGCTTTGTGTGTTTCTCTGACCCCTCTGCAGGGCTGGAGATTCGCTGGGTGGACTGCCACTTCCCCTTCACTCACCCTTCCTTCGAGCTGGAGATCAGCTTCCGTGGACAGTGGCTGGAGGTTCTGGGCTGTGGGGTGATGGAACAGCGACTGGTCGATTCAGGTAGACGGAGTGCTGTGTTTCATTCGCGGGCGTCTGGAGGGACCCTGCCTTGCCATGCAGCCCACTGACATGGCCCTCTACTGGCTGCACCTCCTGGGGCAGCAGCGCCGTCCCCCCCTCTGTGGCCTGCCAGATTCCTCTCTGGCCCTGGACTCCGGAAGGAAGGCCTTGCTCTCACAGCTCGTTTTGCTCAGGCACTTCCATTCAGTGCTGGCTGCTGCTGGCTGACATGTTGCTAACTGCCCCAGAGGCGTTTGGTACCCATCACATGAGTGCCATTTGTCTTCCAAACTCTTCAAGAGCAACACCACTAATCCTGTTTCTCTCTTACAGCGCAGTATCCCAGATGCAACAGATACTTCATAAAAACACAAAGCATAATGCAGAGACACTAAGGCCCAAAACACTCAGTCCTTTGCCACTTTCCATGTAGGCAGTGCCCTTATGTGAAGGAAAGAGGGGAGATAAGGTCACCCATTAAATTCTACTCTGCTCTGTATGTACCTGAGGAAGGGTTTCCCAGCTGTTTGCGGTAAGGCCATTGCTTTAGACAAATGATTGCTTCTCAACTTAATTTCAGAGCTGTGAGGGGTTTGTTTGCTTGGTTTTTTAAATGAAATATCTGAATTTAATTTAAAAATTTTTGGAGTAGAAATCCTTCAGGGAAAGCAAAGGGTGGAGCGTGTGTGTGCTCGGTGCATACACAGCAAGTGCCAAGTAGCCAGAAGCTGGCGGGTAGTGCGCCCTTCCAGCTGGCTCCTGGAGAAGACAGTCACTGCATGGCCCTGGAGGCCAGCTGTCTTTCCCGGTTGGTTATGGGACCTTCTGCAGCACAGTGGACAAGAGCTCCTTCTTGGTGACTAAGAACCTATGACTGTGGGTCTGCGATGTCAGCTCATGAGGCTGGAGAAGGAAGATGGAGTGGGACTGAAGGGACAGGGTGGCAGGAAGTGTGGGACTGTGTGTTGCTGGGAGACAGTGTGCCTGGCTTTCCCTTCACCCCCTTGTCATCAGCCGGGCCCATTCCGCTCAGCACTGCCTGTGAATTTTGCAAAAGAATTTATTCACAAGATATTGATAGTGAAGAAGTGGGACTCCCCCCAGCCCACTTTTAGGGTATGGTTTATGTTTATGGTTTATGGTTGAGAAAAAGAGACAGTGGTTTGAGGCATGGGGAAGGTTTGCTGGAGGCCAGGAAGAGTTAATGAACAGCTTACAGACACACAGTCACAACTTCAGGCCCCTTGCTGGATGCATAGTAGTCTGATTTGATGACAGAGTGTTTGACCCTTTGTGGTCAAGAGGTCACGCATCTGACCACTGCACAGATCCCAGACTGAAAGGTTGTTGGTTTTAACCAGCTTGAGATAGACAAAGGAAGCTCTCCATTCAAAAACTGTTAGAACAAATTTTGCCATAGTAACTTTACATGAGAAGCGTTACTGATAGCAGATCTGAGTGTACTGCTTAGGGATGTGACCTCTAAAACTGATGAGCCAAGCAAGTGGAACTGGAGAATGTATTCCACTTTTCCCTGGGTTTTACTTTTACGCCTCTCCATCTGTAGGGGTCTGGGTTTCATAGAGTCACAGACTCCGCTCCATTCTTCTGAGGAAAGTAGGTGCTCAGCAGAGTGCCAAATGCTGCATGGATGGTTTTCAGATATTTGAAAGGCTGCCCTAGTGGTGGGGCAGGACGTCTGAAACCCCAGGGATTGTGTTACAACTCTATCAATTAACAGCTGTGTGTCTTCAGGCAATTGCTTATTTCCGTGATCCTTGGTTTTCTCACAGTAGAATGGGCATGTTGATGCCATTCTCATCGTTTCAGTGTGAAGATTAATTGAGATGCTATGAATAAAGTGCTTGGCAAAGAGTTTGATCACAGTGAGAGTTCAGAGGAAATCAGTTGTTGATGTTGTAATATTTAAAGTTTTTCTGGTGATGAGACAAATTTATCAACTCCGGTCCTCTTTATAGGAAATACTTAAACAATGGCTCTTCTGCAAACCACAGTATCAATTTCTAAGTCAGGACAACCAGTTATTGCTTTGATCTGTAGCTGTCTTTGTGTCCATGATTCTAGAGTGAGTGATTAAATTCAGAGGTGAAACAGAAAGTAATCAGAAGCCCAAAGAAAAGAAAAATCAGCTGATACATATGTGTAGATTGAATAGAAAGAGATAAATTCAAAATAGTAGGGGCAAGTATGTCAGATTTAATATCCCCTTGGGTAGGAGCTAATTCTTTTCTTTTAAAGAAAAGAGTTAAATGAATTCTAAGTGTCATGTTTCCTAGGGGTCAAAGCAAATATGGGGTGATCAACTGACATTCTCTCTTGAAATTGTGTGTCAGGTATTCTTGAAGGGAATGGCAAAATAAAATACACACACGCACGTGGGTGTGCACACACGTGTTCGTGCACACCCACAGATACCCATACACACACAGATACACATCCACAGATACTCATACACACAAGGATACTCATACACATAAAGATACTCATACACACAGATACTCATATACACACGCATACAGTTTTTAGATGCAAATATGATTTGCTGATTCACAGTGATGATAGAATATACTTCAAATTGTTGGGAAATTGTCCTCATAAAATGTAAATTACATATCTTGCAAGAGAGAGGGATTAAAGAAATGGAAGATGAGACAGTTTTTAAAAGATTTCTGTGTAGATTTTGCTCTTTGAACCTGAAGTTATTATGACAAAGGTCTGCTTTGTGTTCTTGGAGATCAAGGTGTTTTGGCTCCTGCAGATAAAAAATTTAATTTCTGTGCCCGGCAGTCCCTCGCTGTACATTATTTGCAAGTGCAGCTGAATTTCTGTCTCCTGAGTTCCTGCAGTCTGGAGAGGGGGACAGGTGGCACCATCCTTTGAGCTCGGTTACTCCACTCCCGGCTTTCCCCTGCATGTTCTTCCTTCCCGCTTTCCTCTGCCTTTCTCTTCCCTTCCTCTTCCTTATTCCCTCTCTTTAGAGAGAACTGCTAGGACAAGCAGTGTAATGGATGGTTGAAGGGTCTCTGTTAAGCTTCTTGGATCGAATTGGAAAGTGCTGAAACAGCCAGAAAGCAGATGAGCTGCCGTCGGAGCAAGGGCAGCAGCTGAGCTCTGCCGTGCACCAGCTTCATGGAAGCTGCGCTCCTCACTGGCTTCCACTAATCTTAATCAGAAGGCTGTGAGGCGGATGTGTCAGCATCCCTGTTTTATGGAGCCCCAGAAAGTTGATCTGGACCAAGTAGCTAGATTGTGCTAGTAAACTGGTCCACGTCTTTCTAGAGCAGTTAACCACTCTGTGATGCTGCCTGAGTCGTAAATTGGATGACTTTAAAAGTGGCTAAACGTTCATTTCAAATAGATCGTTCTACCTAACATGAAATGAAGAACTGAAACAATTCTGGGCAAGTGGCTTGGGAGGCTAAGGCAGGAGAGTTCTAAGTTGAAGTTTACCCTGGACAACTTAGAGGCTTACTGAGACCTTGTCCCAAAAAAGAAGAAAGAAAATAAACAAATAAATAAATAAAGGTCCAAGAATGTAGCTCAGTGTGAAGGCCCTGGGTTCCATTTCTAGGACCAAATCAATGAATTGAATCCTTGAATAAAATAAACAACAAGCAAGGCTTCACTGTTCTGAAATTAGACACCTTTTAAGAAGGGCTGTGCCCTTTGTGCCTTAGCTTCTATGATACAGTGCATTTAGTCAAAGGACGAGATGGGATTTCTAATTTAAGCAGTTGATGGAAACATTTTACTCGCTGAAGTGAATTATGACATACAAAGGTTTTGGGACATGGAGTAAGGCCCCTCACGCGGCTTAGAGAGTTTTACTTCATTTCTTCTTTATTAGCCTGTAGCATCTTCACCAAGGCTTTTAAAGCGCCTCAGACTAAGTAACTACATTGTGATTGGTGACCATCTTCATGATGACTCCCCTGCTCCTCCTGAGAAAGTGCTGTGAGTACAGGACTGGGTCATTACACAGATGCTTCAGGCTTGCCTCTCTCTGGGCTGAGTCAGGCTGCTTATGCCTTTTCGTAGGGAACACGGAGCACAGACAGCAAGGGCATCGCCAGGGACCATGTGGCCTGCGATGGAGCCGGGAAGGGGTTTCCCCTTACCGAGCCCTGTGAAGTTTAGAAGATTGCACATAAGCCAAAGGGAAATGAGAGGCTCTCTAGTGCAAAGTAACTTCAAGAACAGGATCTGCTTCCCTGTTAAAACTTAAAAATTGACTCTTTTGGGAAACCCTTCTAAAGACATGCACGGACAGTTTCACTTTTAAACAATCACTGTTTACTGGTTTGTTTATCCAGTATTTCTTGAGGTTCTGCTAAGGTTATAGAAAATGGACTGAGTTTTGTGCCTGCCTTGGAGACTGTCACAATCCACACAGACATTAGGCAATGGTTACAGTATCATGTGTGCTCGAACAGAGGCACAGTGGGCAGCACGGTGAGAGAGGGGAGCGCTGGAGAAGATAGTATCAGGCTCCTGCTGATTACACCCACGATGGAACGTGGATGACGTAGGTGTGTGAACTGTGCATTTCCACATATGTTACCTGCATGTGTTTTCCAGGAGTTGTGGACTTTGTCTTTACTTAGTTGCCCTCTTGGCATGCTCAGTGGCTCTTTTTCAGTAGGAGTGTGAATCTGTTTCTAATCCGTTCCTCCTTTTGGTAGATGATCTCTGTACCACATGCAGTTACGTGGACTAGTGTTACTGATCTGAGTTGGACATTTAGCTGGTAAGGCCCAGCCGTGGTGTTAGACACAAGTAGACATGCTGCTTATATAGTCAGCATCTTTTGTGTGCAAAGCAATGTGCTAGACAAGGAGGAAGCTACAAAAATGGGTAAGATTTGCCTTCTGTATCTGAAAACTTAGCAGGGCAGTGCTATACCTAGAGCTAAATGACCCAGTGTTGGCTCATGACTTACAGGTGTGGTCCTCAGCTTGGTACTGTCAGAAAGTGGTGGA